TCTGAGCATCTGAAATGGAATTATAATGATATTGTTAGGGTGTCCATTTTTTTATAACGAGAAAACGTCAGTAATCGCGATAATTTAAAAACTCAACTTTTTTACACAAAACACGCCATAACTTAAGAACCACTTTAGATATTGAAGCTTGTTTTTATTTTGAAGATCGGATCATTTACAATATGTTTACATAGAAAAATTCAATTAGGTTTTTTTTCCATTCTAAAATTTAAAAAACCCATCCATTTACTTTTAGTTAAACTGCTACGCGTTTTCAGTAATCGTGTAACTATTTAAAAAGATTTTTGCATACTCTCTGCGAAGAAAGTTTTTGAAAAACTACAATCAATAATTCATAATAGATTTCGAGAGATCGATTCGTGAATTCTAATAGCGCGACCAACTCAATTCCACTTATTTTTACCAAAAACGCAAGTGTTTCTAACTTGCACTTAAAAATGTTTAAGCTATAGAGAAAATTACAACGACTCGTTAATAAACAAATAAATGAAGTGTCACGAGACGCAATTAAATCGTGAAGCTGAACGCATGATGTACACGTTTCTCTAGAACTTTAAGTACTGACAGAGGTACTGATTGGGTCAACCGGTCGACTGCGACAAATCTGCTATATCCCCTTCCACGCATCTTAGCAATGTGCACAGTTTCTCGGTTTATTCCATACGTTTGGCAACGTGTTTACTGTTCCCTCTTTGTTCAGTACATTATAATGGTACGTATACATTGGTGCACTGCGCCACGAACGCGCAGAGCGTTGGCCATGCGTTACTTTAATTGTTTTAACGAACATCCCGCAATCCATAGAAATCCCGTGAACATTCGTTTCATCGTTAATCATGTCTCTATCGTCCGATAAGAACTACGCAATTTTAGTGATGAGTAGTGCGACTCTTTAAACACTCCATTAATAAACAATATTCAAAGAAAAACACAAAAAAGGGAATTTATTCAAAGAAAATACACATACTCACTGATAAATGCGAGCGGAATGCGTGCGCTGTCTTCACCGGCCGGCCGCACAGTGGTGTGAAACTGATAATATAACGAAAAAACCCTATATTTCCTAAACCGTTAATCAAATCGCATTGGGACGGATTTTATTCGATTCAGCTTAATAAAATACATCAAATAACATAGTTTAATAAATTTATTTATAAGGAAACTGAGCACCAATTGAAACGTAAAGTGAAAATTTTTGCATCAAGTTGAACTTTTGTATTTTCTGAACTATTGAAGGCGTTTTGAATTGCTAGCCAGATTCTGAAACGCTTTTTTATCGACTGTCGAACCGTTCTTTGCAGTTTATTTAATTATTTGCCAATACCCATAATACAGGATAAAACAAAAATGCGTGCATTTTTTACAAAATTTTAAGTGACCTCCATTTTGTGGGGGGATGGAAAATTTCCATTATTTGTGGGTATTTTAAAAGAGCTGTTTTATACCTCGGGAAGTTTTTGAGTTTTTTCGGGGTATCTTGCTCCATTGCAATGTTTTCCTTTTTATATGATTTTCGGTAAGGTTTTAATTCTAATAAATTTATCTCATTATGAAATTAATATATTGTATTTTTTGAGTATTATGCGTATTAACTAATGATTATACTAAGTGATTATTATACTGTATCGTTAATGAAAATGTGTTAAATGCTTCTTTTGTTATGCCAAGATACATAATAAAACCTGTTCATATAATTTAAATATAACAGCTAGATAAATTTTTATATATATAACTGTAACACTTTTTAGTTTTATAAAATTATTTTTTTGCTTTATATAATTATACATTAAAATGCATAATGCTTAAAAATACGATATCTTCATTTCACAATGAGATAAAATTATTAGTATTAAAACTCTACCGACAATGATAAGTCGAAAACATCGCAATGGAGAGCGATAGCCAAAAAAACTCATAAACGTCCCGAGGTATAAAACACCTCCTTCAAACTACCCACAAAAAAAGGATCTCCTCAATCCCTCCACAAAATGAGGCTCACTTAAAATTTTGTTAAAAATGCGCGCATTTTTGTTTTACCCTGTATTATGGGTCCTGACCAATAATTGAAAAAAACTGCAAAGAACGGTTCGATAGTCGATAAAACGATGTTTTAGAATCTGGCTGGCAAATTCAAAATTCCTTCAAAAGTTTAAAAAATACTTGTTAAACTTAATGCAAAAATTTGCACTTCACGCTTCAATTGATGCTGTTTAGTTACACACTGTGGTTCAAATTATTATAATTTATAACATTTAAATCTTATACAATATAATGATATTTATATAATTTTAAGTGGCAAAAAAGTAAATTATATTAAATGAATTTATCGGCATCCGCAAAAATGAAGAATGTAGTTTTCATTTTTTTCCACACTCTTTATCTTTTATTTTAAATTTTTAACAAACGTGGCCGAATGTGGCGATAAAATTTATAGAATCACTACTTTAACAGTTGCTTTCTTTAATCAAATTAATCCGAGACCAAAGCTCGGTAAAGCTTTTTTGTTCTAATCTAATTAAAGTAAGAAGTAAAGTAATTTTATTAGAAATAGATTTAAACTAAACTGCATCAAAGGCACGGTATATTTTGGCAAAATGAATTTTACTTTTTATGCCCGTGGATAAACGAAACAGTTCCTGGGTAATACCCATTTTTAGGAATTAAAAGAAGGGCTGTAAAATATTACTTGTTTTCGCTTTATTTTTGCGCGTTTCGTATATTAAGAAAATTGTCAAAAAGGAGGTGTTGTAAATTCAAAACTAGTAATTAAATTAAAAAAGTAATATTATTATATTGTCTTTGAACTAACTCGATGTAAGATAGGATAATTTAAACCCGATTTAACACCCTCTTTTTTGTTTTTTTTTTCATTGCCGAAACCACTGTGGGCCGTCTCAATTGAACGAACATAGAAAGCTTTTATAAAGCGGCCAGTGCGCGCGCAACTTGAAAGCACGTACCAATAAAGGGGAATCGGTACGCGTGTGCCGCGCGTTCGCGGCGCAGCGCGCCAATTATGGAGTGTAGAGGTAAGGAGAAATAACTCCGTGCATTAAAAATGGACAAAAAAAGGGAAGAATTAGGATGGCGCTGCTGTAGCTAGATTCTAAAATTTTAGACATGCGCCGAACATTTTAGAACAGATGATTAAAGACATAAATATTTGACGTGAAGCCGCGGGTTTAAAAAAAAATACAATTTTATTTTCATGTTTCATGAAATAAATTACAGATTTTTATTCAGCAGCAATAGACTAGGCAAATGTCATTCATACGACGAAAAAATATTCTTATCGTTTTAGCTTAAAATTAATAGTAATTATAATTAAGACAAATTTTATTTAAAGTAATAATTGATGATGGGTTTAAAATAAATATAATGCAGCTTTAAAATAACTTCATACCTACATTGATTTAGTATAAAAGTAAGTCAATATGTGGTTTTATTATCGATTATTCAGATATCAGAGCCTCTTTTTATTGTTTCTCATAAGTTATTTCGTAAATCTCATTCAAGATGAAAAAGCTTTAGTTTAAAATTAATGTTAATTATAATTAGAAAAACTTTATTAAAAGTTTAATTGATGATATGGGATTTAAATAAATATAATGCAGGTCAAAAATAACGTAACACATTTTCTGTAGTATAAAAATTAAGCCAATATAATATAATTTTATACTGTACAAGTATTTATTTACGTTTTGCTCCATCGTAGTTGCCATTCATTCAAAATAGTGGATTTTAAATGTTCGATAGTCGGATGGCTTAACTACCTTAATATCAACTACTTCTAGACAAGAATCGTGTGCAGTATTATCTTCTTTTTCACTCCCAGCTATTCCAACATGGCTTGAAACGTGAAATAATATAATTTTATAGCCCTTCCAGATGCTCATGTCTTCCTTGTAGTTCACCCAATAGAATCGTTCTCGCAGCTTCCTCTCAAGTTGGTAGTTGCTATTCATTCAGAATAGTGGATTTTAAATATATTTGGTAGTCGGATGGTTTAACTATCGTAACAATAACTACTTTTAATAATTCTTTTTCTCAATTCTTTGCACTATAATTTGCATCCAACGTATTGTAATATTTTCCTTTGAATTTCGTTTCCTATTGTCCCATGGCTTGAGACGTAATGTTAGTTCCCTTCCAGATCCTCATGTATATGTCCCTTTTCCTTGTAGTCCACCCAATAGAACCTTCCTCTTAGCTTCCTCTCAAGTTGGTAGTTGCCATTCGTTAAGAATAGTGGATTTTAAACATGTTTCGTACTCGGATGGTTTAACTACTGTAACATCATAAATAAATTGTATACCAAATATCAACACATAATGGCCAAACTTCAACAGACTTTAATATTCATAAACCTCATCAGAATAAATTACCTGCAATTTGTTAATTCATTACAACATTGAATAAAAGATGCAAAGTGTTTATACATACTATAATAGATAAATCTTCATTTAAAATTATGTGATAGATCTGCTTGCTTGTAGGATCTAGACTCATAAACTCAATAATTTCTTTTATTGATATAACCAATAAAGTGGTAATGCTGAAATTTTGTTTTTGATTTGAGCAGTAGGGTCCATTATTTCCATTATTTGATGCTGTTATTGCTCTACAAAATGTTGATCTTTATCAAGGGATGTTTATGTGTATAATATTATTATTTATGTGTATAATAATACTGTATGATCGAAAAAACACGGCGTCCAGTGGGCTTGGAAATGAACATCTCGATGACATTCTCCATATCATTTTACATATAAAATGACAGCAATCTTCATTTCATAGGCATCGCTGACGCCGTTTTTTATTCGATCGATCAAATTGTACTTACGTGTGTAATATTCATTTAATGGTTCCTGTTTTAGTTGCTGGTGTTCATATTTTGGTTTTTTATTGTGTTTTGCTCTACAAAATGTTATTATTTATGTGTATAACATTACTTTTTGTGTGTATAATAATACTTATGGGTATAATATTCATTTAATGGTGCCCTTCTTGCTTGTTGCAACTCAGAATTTAAATTAACTTGAGGCAGTAGGTAGAACTTCATCCTCCAATATTTTCCTATGTAAATACTGCAAGTGGACTGTATTTCTGATGACAATTTTATCATAAACTTTAACATCTTGTTCTTTAAAATGAAACCTTATCTGTAGATTTCAAAGCAATATCTAAATGCTTTTGACCATCGCTGTAATGTAATTCTTGTCTGAAAATCAATACCTCATGTCAATTATCATCATGTCTATTATCCTAATGATTTTGATTTTGATAGATTATTAAAATACAGCACTTACAGTTAACTAGTTCTTGAAAGTACCTACAATTTTATTTATTTCCTACTTTTACTTGTTTAAAAAAATGCCAACAATTTGTGCATGTCTGTCAAACTTTAAAATCATTAATAATAAATTTTATTCAGGTTGTAACTTTATAAAAAGGATTGTAAAAATATACTTTGTAACATGTATGTCAATAATCTTACGAAAAATGTTTACTACACTTTTGATTGACTCTAATTTTTGCATATAATACAAATAATACAATACTGAATTATATTATGTATTTTACATACCGTAGGCTTTGCCTTTGCTCTTTATTTTTCCATCAGCTATTCAATCAACTTCGCACCACACACACTTTAACCATTGTTAAATAATAAATAAAGCACAAAATATTGATAAACAATAATTATTTAATATTCTAAAAAATAAAAACAAAACTTTTTTTGGGTAATGTTTGGTTATATTTATTTTTATTCTCTTATCTATGGTTACTTTTCATTTTTTAGAATCATGCGTTTTTAGAGCCACTGTGGTTATTTGGCGAACCCTTATTCTTCCCATTTTGTGACCACTTTTTTCAATAAAAGTCCCGTAAGAGTTATTTCTCCTTACCTCTACACTCCATAGCGCCAATGTATACGTACCATAACCTTGTACCTTTTGCAACTTTTTTAATGCGTTCATGTGTCGACGGTAAGGCACCCAAGTTTTGCTTCCATATAACATGGTCGGGTTTATTATTGCTCGGTACACTGCAAGTTTCGTTTTTGTGCTCAAGTCATGATTGTAGAAAACCCTGTCTTTTAATTTCTAGAATTTCTTTTGAAGCGCTGCTAATTCTGTGCTCAATTTCAGAATAAATATTGGCCTTTTCCTAATTCCAAACTGCCGCATGCCGAAGTAATTGAATTCCGCTACATATTCCAATAGCTCTTCTCCGATTTTATAGTATTGTTATAATTTTTCGGAGAAGTGCATATGATTTTAATTTTATCTATATTCAGTAACGTTGTTCATAAGGTCCCAAGCCTCTTATGCCTAGGTATATATGTGTTCAGCATTTCTTGTAGTTGCTGTAACTTTTTTCTTAAACGTTTTAAGTAGAGCGCAGTCAGAATCAAAACCACTTTTATAAGATTATTTAAACAACTTATTATAAATAATTTATAAATGTAATTCTCGATTAAAGCTATTTTAATCGCTGTATAATCGTTAAGTTTTGTATTTATAAAATTATTTTACCTCAATATTTATTTAATTAAACACAGACGTATCTGTATGAAACTACACAAAGTATTTTCAACATAATACCTTTTGTTATGACTAAGCTCCTTAACAAAATGGAGACCTTTACAAGCTAATAATAAAGAGAGAAAATGCCAATGATTAAATTATTTCTCTTTTGTTCAATGGTTTTAACGTCCAAAGCTTAATATTTTAATGTTCAATTATATCTTTGAGGGATTGGGTTACTTGCGAACCATTAATTTCCGTTAAATAGTGATCTATAATTAGTTACAACAATCGCTTTGATGTGAAAAATACAGTGTGATAAAATAAAAATTATGTGGATTTTTCATTTCAAAATTATAAACAATGTTTCGATTATTTGTTTCACATGTAAGGTCAAGTTGCTCCGTATTTACTATGCATTATACAAGGTCGCTGTTATGTATGGAAACGGTCGAATATTATGTAAAATATAGGAGGTACCGCAAAAAGTTATATATAGGATTTTTAAATATCAATTAGCGGGTAATAAATTCATGTATACAGAGTCGGTCATAAAGTGGCACATCAAAGTTTTATTTTTTTAAATAGAACCACCTGTATATTAATGCATATTTCAATTCTAATCAAAAATCGAAATAACACAATGTACAGGGACATCATTTTAAGTGGTTTTAAAATTTATAATTTTCCTGTTTGGTATTTAAAGATAGTAGAAAGATTTTCTAATGTAATTTTTCGCGAGGATGCCGATTCTCTACACCAAAATTTTTTAAAACGTCAATATTGACAGATACGACGCCATCTTGATTTTTTTTTAAATGGAAATCCCTACATATTTTAGCATGGTCCGGTAGACTTATCTTAGCTAATTTCAAAAATATAGTTTAGTATACTTTGCACTTACCGTTTTCGATATACAGTGGATTTAAAAATGAATTGTTCCAGAATCATTTTAAGTGTCTCACCCAATTTAAAATTTACCTCTTTTCTATTTTAAGATAGTAAAAAGATTTTCTAATGTAATTTTTCGCGAGGATGCCGATTTTCTACACCAAAATTTTTTAAAACGTCAATTTTGACAGATACGACGCCATCTTGATTTTTTTTAAATAAAAACCTCATCAAATTTTAACACCGCCCGGTAGACATATTTTAGCTAATTTCAAAAATATATAGTTTAGTATACTTTGCACTTACCGTTTTCGATATACAGTGGATTTAAAAATGAATTGTTGCAGAATCATTTTAAGTGTCTCACCCAATTTAAAATTTTCCTCTCTTCTATTTTAAAATAGTAAAAAGATTATTAAATGTAATTCTTCGCGAGGATGCCGATTTTCTACATTGATTTTTTTTAAAACGTCAGTTTTGACAGATACGACGCCATCTTGATTTTTTTTTTCTTTAGAATTATTTTAAGCGACTCATCCAGTTTACAATTTTCGAATTTTAAAATTCTTGAAAATGTCAAATTTGACAATTACGACGCTTATTTTTTTTTTGTTTATTTATACTTTGATTCTTCTTCAATATGACCTTTATATACGGGGTGGTCCGAACTGTATTCCGGAAACTTTGGCAGCATATTTTACAGATAAAAATAAGTAAAAAAGTTCGTATAAATGTATGTCCTAACATGCTTAGTTTTGGAGATACAGGGTGTAGAAGTGTCGTTTTTATTTCGATTTTTTCCAAATAATTTGTGAAGTAACGTTAATACTTTGATGAAAATTGGTGTCTGGGAGTTTTTTGATATGAGAAATTTGATTTTGATGTCAATATAACTCCAATTTCTAGAGGGCGCCACAAACATGTGTTTTAACTTTTTTGAAGAGTAATAACTTTTCGTCCGTACGTGTATAAAACTACTCAGTAAAAGAATATTCATTTATAACGATTTTTACGTAAAAAAGGTCTCTTGGTAAAAATTGTTACGAGTAATGGTTCTCGAGATATTGGGAATCGAAATTGACATAATCATTGACATAAATTAAACATGTGGACTAAATAGTTATATATATATATATATATATATATATATATATATATATATATATATATATATATATATATATATATATATATATATATATATATATATATATATATATATATATATCGAAGGCCTTCTATCCGAAGGTGTAGGCTGGACTAAATAGTTACTAGACTGAAATCATAAATTTGAAATGTTCTTTTTGTCAAAAGTTCAACAGAAACTGTTTTATCATACCTTTTCCGCAGAAAAATTTATGATTAATTTAAGAAAATAAAAATTTCCCATATTTATTATTTCAGCCAACTATCTATCTACTCAACGTGTTTATTTTTTTGTCAATGACATGTATTGACTATTTCCATTCGAAATATCTTGAGAAAGGTTGCTTGTAGCGATTTTTACCAAGAGGCATTTTTTACGTAAAAAAGTCAAGGAAATGTATATTTTTTTACTCAGTAGTTTTATACAGGTATGGGCGAAAAGTTATTACTTTTCAAAACAGTTAAAACACATGTAGGTGGCGCCCCCTACAAATAAGAGTCATATTGACATCAAAATCAAATTTCTCAAATTGTTTCTCAAAATGTAAAAAAACTCCCAGACACGAATTTTCAGCCAAATATTGACGTTACTTCAGAAATTAATTGGAAAAAATCGAAATAAAAATGAAATTTCTACACCCTGTATCTCCGAAACTAAGTATTGTAGGACATATATTTATACAAACTTTTTTACTTATTTTTATCTGCAGAATATGCTGCCGAAGTTTCCGGAATACAGTTCGGGCCACCTTGTATATAAAAAAACTTTTATTTTTTGAATATTTAGTTTTAAACTGCTAGTTATTTATCATAAGATAGCTCAATTTATGTAAATTTCATGCATTTGGATACGAATGCCACTCAGTTGTAAGTGAATGGCATTCATATTCAAATACATAAATTTTAGAGGAATTCTTGATTTCAACCCCCTGTATATAGAAAACGGTAAATACAAAGTATACTAAACTATATATTTTTGAAATTAGCTAAAATTTGTCTAACGGGCGGTGTTAAAATTTGATGGGGTTTCCATTTAAAAAAAATCAAGATGGCGTCGTATCTGTCAAAATTGACGTTTTAAAAAATTTTAATGTAGAAAATCGGCATCCTCGCGTAAAGTTACATTAAAATATCTTTTTACTATCTTAAAATAGAAAAGAGGAAAATTGTAAACTGGATGAGTCACTTAAAATAATTCTAAAGATTTCATTTTTAAATGCACTGTATATCGAAAACGGTAAGTGCAAAGTATACTAAACTATATATTTTTGAAATTAGCTAAAATATGTCTACCGGACCATGCTAAAATATGGGGGGTTTCCATTTAAAAAAAATCAAGATGGCGTCGTATCTGTCAAAATTGACGTTGTAAAAAATTGTAATGTAGAAAATCGGCGTCCTCGCGAAAAGTTACATTAAAATATCTTTTTACTATCTTAAAATAGAAAAGAGGAAAATTTTAAATTGGGTGAGACACTTAAAATGATTCTGGAACAATTCATTTTTAAATCCACTGTATATCGAAAACGGTAAGTGCAAAGTATACTAAACTATATATTTTTGAAATTAGCTAAAATATGTCTACCGGGCCGTGTTAAAATTTGATGGGGTTTCCATTTAAAAAAAAAATCAAGATGGCGTCGTATC